ATTAATGTGACAACAGCAGTTTCACATCCCAGTTTAGTTGACAGATACACCTAAATGTTGAGAGCCATAGTCTTCTTGTTCTGACTGGGAACATATGCTGTATGCTAGTTCCATGGGACCTAGGATAATTGTGGCTGTCTTTTATGTATGCATACTTTTTTCTAAATAGCATACATATATATCAGTTGTGAAGGTCTACATAATATACAAGTTTGTGCATTTTGTTTCTAATATCTATGAAGCAATTTGTAATTATTTAATAAAAAACAGTTTAACTTGAAAAATTGTGTGAGGTTTGCACATTTCTGAGGGAGATGAGGTGTAAAGAAATAGGCAGTATGATAAATAAATACATAATTTTGTGTACAGATTACACAAAAAGAAAATGATCATGTTTCCACTTTGAAAATCGGGAGACTCTTGAAAGAAGCTATGACTCTTACTCAGACAATCAAAGGCAAAGGAAAAAAGTGAGTGCAAAAATTGTGTTTTTGCATAGGTTTCTGTTTGGTTTATTTTTTAAAAATGTGGGTACAGTTATGCATTAGCAGTGTTTTCCCACAGATCATAGATACAGATGAAAATAAATGAGGAACATACCTTAAATGTGGCAACCCAAGCCTTTTGTGTATGTTTTAAATTTTATTTGGATCTTGTGGTTTGATTTTCTTTGACTGCTCTCGCTTTCTTTTTGTGTGCGTATATGTAGCTTATGTGATGAGAGAGGAAGTATGAAAAAATATCTTAGATGTGTTTGGTATTCATCAATGTCTACAGTCTCCAACCCAAAGTTCCCATCTGCAGTAACAATATTTAATCTAGGCCAAGAAACTATTTGTTTCAAACTCATTTGCATTGGGGATTATTGCTGGATGACAGGGTAGAGGTAAAAGTGAATTTGATTACTGTTAATTGTTCTATTTTTAAAAATCCAGCTTATTTTGTTATGAAGTGGATACTTTTAGTAAATGAAGTAAGCTGCTCCAGAGACCTCTGGGGTTTATATAGATTTTTTCTTTCTGTTTCCCTAATGGCCATACAGGAAAATCAAAGTACCAGAGAGATTGCATGTTCAAAAGCAGACTTAAATTCAAGCCATACTTACTGGCATTCTTCCATGAAAAGCAAAGGGGGTGCACTTTTTAAGCATTCTTGATAGCTTCTGATACGGAGTTCCAAGTTTTGTTTCACTGTTGTAGGAAAGATAAAAATGAAAACTCACGTTAGTATTTAGCCTAGTTCTTCTGTTGTGCTACTTCAAAAATTGGTATAGCATGTAACTATAATTTAATGATAACTTATGGTCTAAAGAATATACCAATATGCAAAATAGATAAAAGTATATTTTATATTCTAATATATTCCCTGTGGAATAAGTCTAATTAAATGTTATTTCACATGATTCGGGTCTGCTGTATTATATTTCCTTGGCTTAATTTTTTAATATTAATTATGATTCTGTTATTGTGTTTATAATATGTATGTGTTTTAAACTAGAGAGCATATATATATCTTTGAAAAATGGAAAAAGAATGAAAGTAATAGTGATGGTAATGATAAGAATAAACAGTCCTAGTATTAAATATAATTTTCTTAGCTGAGCAAACCTATTCTCTGTTTTTAATTAGTATGCATTGATGCTTTGCTTTCATTTATTTTTTTCTAAATATAATCTATATGGACATTAAGGGAAAAGGCAGAATTTTAATTTTTAAATTGAATTATTGTAAAAAAATAGTTAGCTTTTTAATAGGACTCCAATATACCAAATTTTAAGGCAAATTTTTGCTTGTGATTGGCAAAGTCCAAGGTAATTTATAATCTAGATTTTACTGTTATAATGATACAATCTGGATTTCTGTGATACTGCAATACAATTTTGCAGTATAAACTAGCTTTTGCTCAGTGTCCCCCCCCCATACCAATTAATTCTGTCTGCCTTCTGTCCTTCACCCAATTTTCCCTTCCATTGGGTTGTCAGTATTATGTACATATTGAGGATAGATTGCTTCCATTTTCCTGGTTTCAATCTAAACATTTTTTTAAAAAAAATCTAAAATATTAGTTTTTCTTGAGGATGTTCTCTTCGACAACATAAAGATGAGAGAAGAGTATTGATTGAAGGTTATTATATCTGGACTGCAAAAATCCAGACAACTGTAAATAACAACAGAGAAATAACTTTCTGTATGCTGTTCTCATCTAACTATTGTGTGTGTGTTTGTGTGTATTCCTTGTTAAATAGAAATATGGCTTGGTTCTCCAGCACTAGAAGCAGAGTTAATTATATTTCCTTTAAGCAACATTGTTATGCTGTATTTGAACTAGCACTGAATGCAAATTCAAAAAATTCAGATCTATGATGCAGGTAAATTAAGCACATAATGTATTTCAAACACCTGTAGGAAAAAAAATGTAGTATTTGATAATGTTACATTGCAGAAAAATATGACAAAAAAGTTTACTGTAAAATATGAGAACCCTAAAAGCAAAACCTGTAACAATTTATTAATCCCTCTTCTGTTATTATTCTACCATATTCTGATACTTTGGTTTTCTCCAAAATCTAGAATATTTATAAGAGTTACAATGGGATTAACCTTGATGTCTCTTAAAAATAATAGCACTACAGAAATGAAACTAGAGAAATCTTAAAGCTTGCCAAAACTGTAAGTTTTGCAGTGGGGAAATAATTACTATATTCTCCAATTTGGAGCTAGCTGAAACCAAAGTTTCTACAATGAAATATCTCAGCTATTACTAAGCAACATTGTCTACATGAACACATATATATATATTGAATATTGCACATTTTTATTTCTGTCTCAAAGCATAAATCTAATATGTAATTGTTTTATTTTCATAGTAAGTACCACCTATTAAATTGGTATTTATTTATTTGTCTTTAATCCATACTTAATTCTAAAATTATAGGCGATACACTTAGTTCTTGACTTACAACCACAATTGAAATCAGAAAAAAGAAATCACTTTAAGTGGTGTGATTGTTAAGTGAGGCATCAAATAACCACACCAATTTTATGATCTTTTTTTTTTGTCATGGTTTTTAAGGAAGACATCACATGACTGTGACTTGCAACCTTCCCTGCTGGCTTCCCATTGACTTTGCTTATTAAAAGCTGGTTCGGAAGGTTTCAGATGGCAATCACATGGCTTAGGGATGCTGCAACAGTTATAAATATGAGTCAGTTGCCAAGTCCAAGATCATGATCATATGACTGCAGAGATACTGTGACAGTTGTGTGTTTATCAATTGCAAGTTATTTATTTCAGTACTATCCTAACTTTGAATGGTCACTAAGCGAAGGGTCATAAGCCAAGGACTATCTGAATACCAGAGATGTCATAATCTTTGTCTTTCGTGCCAGTGTTAGATATAGGTAGTGCTTGACTTATGGCCACAATTGAGGCCAAAATTTCTATTTCTAAAAGACACGGTTGTTGAATGAATTTTGGCCCATTTTATTATCTTTCTTGCCATAGCTGTTAAGTGAATCGCTGAAGTTATTAACTTAGTAATGTGGTTGTTAAGGGAATCTGGCTTTCCCATATACTTGTCTGTAGGTCGAAATCGCCCTGGGATATTGCACCCATCACAAATACGAGTCCGTTGCCAAGTGTTTGAATTTTGATCACATGACTATGGGGAGGCTGCAACGGTCGTAAATGTGAAAACCAGTCACAAGTCACTTTTTTCAGTAGTGTAGCTTTGAATGATCACTGAAGTCAAGGACTACCTGTACTATAGGATAGTGTGGTTTTCCTAGTTTGGCATGCTGTAGATGTTTTGAATTCATCCATCAGTTAGCTCAGCTATTAGGAGTATAGGTTGGGAAGGGAAAGGAGTAATAGTTCAGTATATCTGGAGGAGACCAGTTTGGGAAAGGCTGTGGGTTGGTGTTTTTTTTTCCCTGCCTTATCTGCAGTTGTTTTGAACAATTTTTCTCATTACTTTTACCTATTAAGAATCACTTTGTCTAACAGAAGAGGCTGTAGGCCTGACTGTCTTAGAATTATTTTGGCAACTACTCAAGAGCCCAAGGGATATGACTCAGTGCAGAAGATATTAGCCACCCTCATATTTAATTGAGGTGTGGTTTGTGCAAAAAACTTGCAAAGCCTTGGTCAGAATAAGTTACATAACATGTTAAGGCCTGTGGCCTTTGTGCAGTCTGGTTTGTTAAATTCTAGAGAGAAGTTAAAAAAGCTGAATGGTATGTGCCTTTTCGAGTTCTGTGAAAATGGCTTCTCAAAATTCTCAATTCTATTGTGGAGAGAGTTATTGGTATTTTTTTTTTCTCAGATGAAAATAAATTACTCCAGTGGGTGCAGCTAAATAGTAAAGTCAATAACTTGGGTTCTTTCCTTTTCAGCATGGATATTTTGGCTGGTTTTGAAAATGGAAGAGCAGGAATGATATTGGTAGTCATTTAGTATTAATTTGTCATTCTGGATCTAGGGAACTATAGGGCTATAGAAATATATATATATGAAAAATTTGGACTGGAAAAATCTTGAACCTCGGTAGATGGCAACAAACAGATTCAGAATTCTTTACTGACATCTAGTGATTGTCTGGATTTTTAAACCCAGATAAGAAAGCCAAAGAAAATAAGAGTGGAGAAAAATCAGAATGAAATTGTAAAGTGAGCTTCAAAAATAAATGTGTGTGTGTTGTGTGTGTTTGTATGTTTTGAGGGAGGGGGTTAATTGTCACAAAAACATCTTCTGAAAATGTAAACTCAACCTATGGCTGTTTTGAAGCAAGACTAGTCCTGGATTTGTGATTTCTACAAACAAGTTTTCTCTCTCTGGGAAGCAATTATCACAGTGATTGTGGCATACATAAAGAATCAACAACACTTATACATTGTAGGTTTGGTGAAACAAATAGCATCAGTAAAATTGTAACATTATGTAAATAGAACAGATATTTTTCAGAAATTAAAACTTAAATCTTAAAATAATTTAGAGTTTCTTCTTAACTTTTCTTACTTTATCTCTTTCTTGAGATATTAAAAGATCATGACACTATCTATGCATTTTCTAAATGCCAAGCAAAATTATTTCTATATATTTAGGCATTCCACATCTGCCATCTGCTTTCATTGGCTCAACAGACAAGTCACCTCCAGATTGCAATGTAGTACAGTTTATGCTGGTATCTTATTTTACCTGTTTGTGTAACTATTTGAAATGAGAAGGTGGGAGAGCAAGGTGTAAATAATCTGAAGGTCCAGACTCTGTTTAAAAATAAAAATCACAAAGGACACATATTTTATCCTTGATGCTACAGAGCTCAAGTATTTATGCCAAGGATTTAGGGCCCTTCACTTTTTTGGTTTGGCAACAACTTCACACAAATGTGTTGCCCCAGTAGTCTCTTAGCCATTTAAGATAAATGACAAAATCAAATGCAATCCATGCAGACTGAAGTACTGAATGCAGTGCCAAGGATGAAGTATTTCTATTGGATTCACATCTGTAGCTATCAGATCACCATGCTAGCTATAGTTTTCAGACCGGGAGAAATAGATGAAAAACATGAGGAGAATAAATGCTATTTTTAATGAAAAACTAGGCCTTCTAGGCAAATAGGAGGAGGAAATCATAAATAATAGTTATAGTTTTTTATTTTTTTTAATAGTATTTATACAGCTCTTTTCCTCAATTGTGCCTAAGATGGAATAAATCCAGTAACAATAGCAGTTAATACACAAAAGAATAAACTGTACTGAAACATTGAAACAAATTTAAACTATTACTAGTAAATTAAATGATTCTTCACTTCAATAAATTAAAAAGAAATCTTTTTGTCCTAAAAAGCAAAGGCTATAAATCAATTTTAGCTCCTGATGGAGAATGGCCTGAAAGATAGCATCCAAACATCTGTGACCAGGAATGTTTGTTTCTGCTCATACTTAGGCAAGTTCATAAAGAAGGTAGTTCTGCAGATAATTGGCATGCAAGCTGTTTACAGATAAGAGAAAGCAAGTGACAACTTTTGCAGAACTTTCAAGTAAATGTGAGTAATATGATCATAATACCATGTATTGATTTGCAGCTCAGCAGTCTTTTTGTACCATTTGATGCTTCTTCAAGCATAGTCCAATTTGAAACAGCGTATTGTATGAAGTATGCAGGATCCAATCTGGGTTAGTCATCGGGACTAGAGAGGACTGACCCAGATTCATCTTCACTGAAGATTGGCTCCAGCACAAGTCCAAAAGCTCAGGAGACAAATCTCTGGTCCCAGTGACTGATCTAGATTGGATCCTGCAACATTGAACTGGGACACGTAAATTCACCTTCATTCATGAGAAGTATACTATAAACAAAGGTCCAGATCAGACTAACTCTGGAATAGTCAAAGATAGCCAATTTTAAGTATTTATATATTTAAATACCTGTAGATCTAGGGATCCTTTACTGTTAAATGGCAGTCCCAAGTCACCGATATATTTTATGAACAAGTTTTACAACATGTTCCACAGATTGGATTCCAATACTTAGATAAGGGTTTATGCTAATCATAGCAGATTGATACCTTATCTGGATTCAGTCTCTTTCTTCATGCAGTCCATTATTGAACACAAGCATTTTCAGAGTCGAATAGTTAAGGTGATGACCTGGAAACCAAAAAACAGTGAGTTCTACTCCCACCTTAGTCATGAAAGCTAGCTTTGAGTCATTCACTCTCTCTCAGCCCAAGTCGTATCACAGAGTTGTGGAAAAAAAATAGGAGGAGGAAGGAGAATTAGATATGACTTCTGTCTTGAGTTACTTATAAAGTAATAAGGTTGGGATAAAAATTTAATGATATTTTAATAAATTATAAAATCATTAATATCATAAGTCTAATGTTGCCCTAGAATTAGGTGACAGGGAACAGTTCAAGTAAGAGTTATTAATATATATTTTTGATAATACATTTCAGGTTATTTTTCCAGTGATTCTAAGTATCTTTTAAATAATGTAAAAGCATAGAATGTACACTAGGCAATTGTTACAGTGCTAAACAGTTGTCCTTTAGCCCAATTTTAGATTACTATAATATAGTCTCCATATTACAATACCTATTTATCCCTCAAAAGCTGTTTAGAAGCTTCCTGTCACTAGCATGTGATAACCAGGATCCAGTTCCTATCTCTGACATTCACCAAGCCAATCAAGGCACTTTCTCAGTTAAAATTATAATTTAAATAATTTTGGGTGATTTCTGAAATAAAATCAATAGCTCTTTGAATCCTTGAGTGGAAAAAAAGGTATTGAGTAGAAAATTGCTGAAAAGGGGAAATCTATCTACATTTTCTTTCCTCATATCCAATATCTTCTTGTGATTTGACAGTGGTAATAGTATGAATAAAAACAGTGAATAGCTAGCAGATTGCGACGGTTGCCGAACTGAAAGCAGCCCTGAAGGAGGCGCTGGCTCGGGGTGGGGCACTGGGGCAGGTTCGGGCCCGCGTCCAGGCAGAGGCCTTTGCCACGCTGGACGACTTGGGCAAGCCACGCCCCGCCGCCTCCCGCGAGACCCTCCTGCTGAACAAGCTCATCCGCGAGTACCTGCAGTTCTACCGGTACAACTCAAGTGCCTCCATCTTCCTGGCCGAGTTCGGCCAGCCTGAAATCCCCTTGGACTGAGATTTCCTCGCCAAGGAGCTGCACGTCGTTGAAGACCCAAGCAGCAGATCTGCCCCTTTTGTATGGAATTCTAACTCAGCTGTTGCGAGGCAATGAAGAGAAGCCCCCCCCACACACCCTGGGGGCCCCTCAGTGGCCCCTTCAAAGTGGACTACTAGCAAGCCATCTCATTGAGGCCATTAAATGGGTACAGCACTGTCGAACCGATAGACAAACTGTTGCAGACTCAGAACATGGTGTGAGGCTTTTGAAGACACGTGGGGTTCACAAGGCATCCATGAATAAAGTATAACCGCATTTTTTATGAGGAAAAAAAATAGTGAATAGCTTAGGTGTTTTTTATGATGCATTTTGTTATTTGTTTGGTATTCCTATTTCTTTCAAAGATTTATATTTTGGGAGGTATATACTAATATAGATAGGCATTGTATTTAAATAGCTGGAAATTACAAACACACATTTTTTAAAACTCCTTTATCTATAAAATTAACATGAAATAAATTGACAGACTATTATACTTGTAAGCTTATTACAGAAACTGGAGTTGATTACTACAATAGATATATTGATTCAAGAGCATCAGGTATTGTTGGTGGCAGCCAAATAATTCTTATTGAAAAATGGATACAGCCTGAGTTTTAACTAAAAGTTAACTTCATGCTGTATGTGTCTGTTTTTTGCTTTTATTTAATTGCTTAAGTCATTCTGATGACTGCCAAGAGAGCAAGAGGGAAAGCATTTCCAACACACCAGAAAAAGAGACTAAATACAGTTCTAAATAACAGATGATTTCTAGATATGCGTGTATGTGTTTTAAATGAATAATACAGTTTGAGGGTACAATGCTTCTTTCCAGCTATTAGTAACAAAGAAAGGTTATGTTCTGTATAGACTTAACATGGGAAATATAATGCAGAAATGAAACATGTAGAATGCATTGTTGGCTGCAGCTCAAGTAGCGACAAAGCCACGATGGGCCATAAATGCTTTATTCTGAGAGCTCGATTCCTGGCACTTGTATAAAGTTGCTTCAGCTATGAGTTGTGGCACTTTGTGTTAGTGTGCTGGGCCTGGTTCAGTAGTAACTTGGCAAGCAGCTCTCCCCCTTTTTTCTCTTGGCGAGCTGGATTAGGATGGTCATAAATAGTAATCCCCTTTCGATGTGATTCCTAAACACATGCCCTATAGCTCTGGCAATGTCCCCTGGTGCTCCTCCCTAATGTCTATAAGATGACTATTCTCGTACATTGTCCTCTCTTATCACTCTTACATTTTTTGCGTCTTCAAGCAGCAGGAATGTTGCTGAGAACTTTTACAGGGTTATTTCCTACGTACAAATCTGTTTTATCAGAAGTGGTGTTTTTGACCAAGTAAATTATGGTCAGAGCAGCTCTTGAGAGTGGGCAAAAATACATAAACTATCAAGAAGATTTTAGCAACTCACAGTTATTTAGTACACTATTGGAAAATTTCTGTCTAAATATAATTTTTTGTATCACTATTTTGGTTTTTAGGACAAACAAAACAACAGTATTAATTTATACTTGTACGGAACAACTGGCATGTTCTTTTTAAAGCACATTTCTTTTGCTGCTTGGCGCTTCCAGAAATAAATCACACATTTTTGGAGACTTGACAGAAGTTTGTTAGGGTGCTGGCCATTTTGCGACATAATACATAGCTAAACTCTACCTGTAATCTTTTTGCTTATGCTATGGAGGAATAAAAAAAAGAGAAAAAAACCCAATAAACAGCTAATAATCCAGTCACAGATAAATTAAGATACTAGTGACCCTATAGAGGTGGTTCTCAAATTAAGTCTGTAATGGAGCCTGCCCATTATGCTTATAAATTGTAATGGTAATAAAACATGACCAACCTGATTTTATGACTTTTTGTGGTGGTTGTTAAGGAAATGTGATAGTTGTAAGTGTGAATGCTACAGTCAAGCGAACACCCTGGTTATTAAGGGAATCCATGATTTTGCTGTAGTGCAGTTTTGCCAAAAAACCAGAAACGTTAGTTTTATGAAAATTTGCTGTAAAGCGTAGTGATGTGACTGCAGAATGCTGCAAATGGCTGTAATAGTGGCTATATTGCCAAGCGCCTGAAGTGCGGTTACATAACATAAGGCCATTTTTTTCAGGTCAGTCATAACTTCGAACAGTTGTTAAGCAACCAGTGGTATAACAAGAACTGCCCAATGTCTTGAGAGTTACTGAGGAAGAAGGAAAATAACACCAAAACAATTGCTTATGTATTTATATTTATATTCCCTTCCTTTGAAAAGATCTGGCATAGGCAAAGAAAATATTTCCTAAGCAAACATACAAATAAAAAGAAAAGGAAAAAAATGCCACAGACAAACCAAATAAAATAAGGATGCTCAAAATTTATCATCTAGATCAGAGATTTGCCAAGTATGATTTTCATAGTCAAGTTTTGTCTTTGGTATTATGACTGCAGCCTTTATTCATTCACTTATTTATATAGTTATTCTACTACTGTACTGAATCCCATCCCATGTACCTTGATGGTTTACAAATAATAGTACTAAACACATTAGGCATTTTAGAAAAGGGTGGAAGGTTCAGTCATCTATCTTTCTCATAGGAAAGGCCTTAGTGGAGAGAGAAGCCTTTCTACTGAATACTGTCTCTCTTTCCTCTGTAAGTTATGCAATGGGCAGGAGGAATAACCTTGAGAAACAGGAGGAAGACCAGGACAGTGACTAGGTCAAACAAATCTGAGTCCAGGCTAGAGTTGTAAAGTGAAAACTCAGACAGGACTCTCCCTAGTTCTCAAGATGATAAAGAGAGAGAAGTGCATTCAGACTTGCAAGATTCTTTTACTATAACCTTTGCATGGATGGTTTCCTAGCTTGATCTACCTTGAAAGGCTGGCATCTATCGCACAAACTCAACATGCACTTCCTCCTCCTTCCCATTATCTTCCTGAAAACAAGGGACCATCTTTTCTGAGATGCTTATTTACATTACAGTTACAGGCCTGGGCTCAATTTTTTTTACCTAGAAGTTGGCTTGATTGTGGCTTTTTATCCAGTTCCGCAAAGTTATTCTGTTTCCTTCCATTACAGTTTGTTAAGCAAATATGTACCGTAGGTCATGCGAGCCCTACATTGCTCCTGTTCTCCATCTTTGCTTTCAAACATCGGTACCACTGACAGATTTTTCTATTGTTTTTTCCTCAGGGCCGTCCAGGCCTGCAAAGCTGCCGGCGGCCTCCATAACTGCCTCCTCCCACCCTCATGCATCAGTGATCGCACCGCCACCTCTCCGTGCTCTAACCTCAGTCCCGCCCTGCCTGAGCCTGTCCTGCTGTGGTGCGCGCGCAATCTCAGTTGGCGGGTCTCAGAGTGAGACATCAGGCACATTTGGATGTCATTGTCAGTTGTCAGGTAACAGAAACATTTTATTTTTGCTCTCTGAAGATCAGCTGCCAACATGATATATCTCTGGAAGCATCAGGTCCATTTGGATATAAGGACAGAGCTAAAACACTAGAAATCTTCCTTATCATTGTTGAGACAGGAATTGAAACCAGTTTGGTCTTGTTTTGCCGGGGGTGTGGGCTAGTTGATCTCAGATGTTGCCACCAACACTGGGGCTGATGATTTGTTTATACTGCATTGTGATCAAATGGCTGAGAATCCTCGTACAAATGTGATACTCTGATATCAAGATTTCATCTCTCTGGGCTGTTTATGCTAAACTTAATTGGATAACAGTTAGCATCTGAAGTCTTTCTGCCTGATGATTTGCGTTCTTCAGATCTCATTGGAACATGGCATACTTGTGGTCCGCACACTTTCCCTCCACTGCTATAAAAGCCTCTCATTAATTTTGTCTTTGTTCCATTACTGACTTGTATGGAAAGCAATGAAAGGAAACCAATCTTTATGGAAAAGACTTTGTAAATATTGAATACCACTGAAAAAGTAGTCCACTAATTTTACCCAGATTTGGCCAAAACCCAAAGGAAGTTCAATGGGAGAAGTTCAAAAGCTGGTGATGACCCATTGGAGTCCCTATCTTAGGATACAGTGAAACAAAACAAGTATATCTTTATGAAGTGCATAATTTAACAATGATATCCACTGCTCCAGCATTTGATGACTGCTGGCTTTCATGACTACTAATCAGAAGGGCTATAAGCAAGGTCTATGCAGAAGTAATAAGTCTTTGAATAATAACTACTGGGAGATGTTGCCCTCAAGTTTGATTGGGCATAGTGGGAACCAGAATATTAAATGAAATAAATCTCTAGGCTTACCTTTAGCTCTTAAATGGCAAAGGAAAAATCAGACTGAATTGTGGAAGAAAAAATATTCTTCTAAAATTTCATTTATTGCTTGAAGTTTGTCAAATCTTTGATTAGGCTAGAAATGAGGTTTGAATAATACATTTTTGAGACATTCTTGTTTTCTTCTTGTAATACATTAAGGCTATCATTAATAAGAAAATCCTTCCAGAAGATCAGGATTTGACTTACTTCTTCTACAAATATTCATAATATAAGCAACAAAAACATAATGTCAATGATCTACAACTTTTATATGATCTGATAAAGAGATAGACATACAAAAGAAAAAAGTAACAATTTTATATGAAGAAATGAAAGTAAAGAATAAAGAATGAAAGGGAAAACAAAAAGGTGAGAAATGGACCAAGCAAAAATAAATGAAATATAAGTATATGAGTTGCAATAAACAATGAATTCTACACATGAGAATTCTACACATGTACAATTTTACATAAATGTAAGTTGAAGGGATTTCTTTCATGTTTTAATGCTTTTTCATACCATTGTAGCTAGCATTCATTTATTACAGCAAGTTAGCCACACATATTGTCTAAGGCTTATGGTGCTTATTTTTGCAATTGCACATTTTTATTTCTTTGGCATAGACTGATTTGTGAGGCATAACAGTCTTTGCCCTAAACTACTTATAATCTAAAATATATTTTCCCAGTAGGCCTCTGAACATGAAAAAATATTGGTTTTTCTTTTGAGAAATGGTAACATTTAGATATTGTTCAGTATGTTTGAATTGTCTGATGCATGTTACCAAATAACCATGATATGCTATTAGTGTGGATGAGTTGGCTGGTTTAAAAGTTAAGATAATGCAAGGTGTCTAGTTCTAGGCCACATATAGCTTAGTTATTACTTTCCAAGGTGAATATTCATTTACTGGTTTCTTATGACCTGAATGCATCCTTGTAACCTAATTTTTCCATATTTTTATATGTGAATAAATGATGCTGTCATAGCACTTTAGAAAAACAATCCATATTCAGTGAAAGGGATTACATAGGGGAAGTAGTTCGATAAAAGATTTAAAGTAGGCTTCAGGTTTTAAATACAGGAAATTAGTTTTATTTTAATATCTGTAACCTGCATTGCCCCACATCCAACAAAACATGCAAAATAACAATAATTAAAAATATATATTGACAATATAAAATAGTGCATTAAAAAGAGAACAAGAATTTAACACACAATCTGAAGAATGTTAACATAAAATTCATAGAAAAGATAAAGACTTGAAGCATAGATAGAATACAATGAAGGAGATAATTTTTGGGCTTCAAAGTTCTAAAAATAAGTCTTAAAGTCTGATGCCACCAAACATTCTCCTGAAAACAAAGATATGGACAGGGAATGTCATAATAATTAACCTTAAAAGTTGGTAGGTTTACATTTGACTTTACAAGTAATTTGCCTTGTTCCAAACCATTAAGGCCTTGAAAAGTAATAATTAACATCTTGTGATTCTTTTAAAAACACACCAGTCAACAGCAAGTACTCTTGGTACTATAAATATTCCATAAACAATATGGACATCTTCCATGAAAAGGATCAGTCTTAGAGAGTCTGAAGACCTCTCTTGTTTGCAGCGCAAGATCTGAAAATGAAAAATGAAAAAATGAATGTGATAACAAAAGGTCAGTGACAAACACTGATTACATATCCTTAACTCTAGCATTTATTTGAATGATCTGCTTGGTTTACATGAATGAGGAGATTTGTAGTTAACATTACTATTATTTTCCCACTGTATATTTGCTTCTATGCAATTTACTTAGCATAATATAAATTATGAGCTCTTATAGAAAACGTGGCAGGCAAATACTATTACATTGGCATACTTCCTTTGGTATAAACAGATACCAGTAATAATGAGGAGAAAAATAACAAACAAATCTAAGACTAGATAAGAAAAAATAATGTACCCAGAAAGAGCATTGCACCTTTATATATTCACTCCTATATTGTTGGACACCTAGCCCTTGGACCAGGGGTGGGATTCAAAAATCCCAGCAACTGGTTCATTGCCCAGTTGCTGGGTGGGTGTGGCCTACCAGAACTTCTGGAAGGGCCATTTTTTGCCTTCCCAAGGGTCCAGAGGTTTCTCTTGGGCCTCTGGGAGGATGAAAACTGTCTCCCCTGGGCTCTGGAGGCCCTCTGGAACCAGAAACAAGCCTGTTTCTGGACTTCCGGAAGGCCAGTTTTCCCAACTCCCAGAGCCTCTGTGCAGATCCTGCACTTACCTGCACTGAAAATGGGCTGCGTGAAGACTTCTGGGAGGGGAGGGGTGAGGTGGGTGGGACAGCCGGTCAGTTCAAATACCGGTTTGGTGAACCAGATGCAAATTTAATATCCGGTTTGCTTGAACTGGTCCAAACCGGTAGAATCCCGGCCTTGCTTTGGACTGATCTTAAATGAAAAAGCTGTGCCAATTTAAATTGTGGGACAATCTAATACTATGGCACCTGAGATAATATTTTAGTATCAGGCCACACACTGTGTTTATACTAGCAGTTATTACAGTTTTATTTATTGTCTATTTGTTAAATCTATATGCCATTAATTTTCTTCTAATACAGTCATATAAGATGCTTTATCACTGTTCTAAAGACTGAAAAAATACTTATTTTAAGTTAAGTTTTGAGTACACATTTAATCAAGGAACATGTAATCAAGCATTGCATTGAAAATGAGACAGATATTTTCAGGCACAATGGCCTTGAGTATTTGCTTTTTAGCAATTGGTGCTTCACCTAGCTGTAGTTCTGTTTTAAATTGAATACTACAACTTTATCCTGGGACACATATATTCATCTTTATCTGTGGTGAAATTTTTCAAAGAAGGTGGTAAGCAGTTACGACTGATGGGGATGGGGTGGGGGAGGAGAGGAGGGGAGGGGAAAGAAAAGGAAACTAAAGGAGAAATTCTTGCAGAGCAGATCACATTTGGTTGCTCTTAGTTTGCACATCTTGCAGTTGTCCCACCACTGAAACAATCTCTTCTACTGGGTTTTCCAGCTGGACAAGTAATACTCCCTACAAGGTGTGTGTTTTTTTTTATCAAACAGGTGTGCATATAAGGTGTGCTCAGCATCTGACCTCTAGAAACCCTATGTATAAATATTTGTAAATACTTGCTCTGTTTTTTGTCCATAGGCTGAGGATAACAGGATAAAGATAGTATCATTCCTCCCTTTTAGCTGTTATTCAGCACAAAATTAAATGTAATAGCTTTTTATTACTTGGAATCTAATTTAATTTGTATGAAAACTCTGAAAGTCTTTCTGTGTTGTATGATAATTTGACCCATAGGTTTATTGTGGATTTTTATATCCTTGTAAACCTCCTTGAATAGCCATGTGTGAGTAGGCAGCAGTATAAATTTTCTAAACAACAACAAAAAATAATAATAAATCAAGGGACAGTTCTTGCCTTTTCTCTAGAAATTTCCTCATGGTTTGTCCATTTTTCTGAGTAGAAATCATGAACTGTTCTGTTCCAACTATTTAGTTCGCATGTAGGATACTTATGACAGCTCACATCCAAGGTATTAAGCATTTGTTATTTCATTTTTTTCTATTTCATTTTTACCAAATATATTGTGGCAGCAGCATATTTTCTTCTGATCACAGAGTAGCAGTTGGGTTTTGCAACAATGAGGTCTTCTATCTGGTTGCAAGCTGAAAGCTCTGCATATTTTTTTGCCTAACTTTCCAGTTCAATGTTTTATTGGCTAGTCTAGGTTTAAATTCCAGAAGTTACGCACATAAAACAGGGGCCCAGAACTCCTAGGTCGCGACCTACTACGGAGCCATGACCTATTTGGAACTGGATCATGCAAGAGGCATCCTGGTGTGCACATACGTGTGAGCACAGTTCAACTCATCCTAATGGTGGGCCAGCGCATATGTGTATCTGCCCCCCTTCTGTGTGGCCAAGCCACAAAGGTTGGGGACCACTGACACAGAACACTAGCTGTTTCAGATGGCTCCCAAGCTCTATAGTTCCCATATATTTTAATACTTTGACCAACTCATTAAAGGTTGACCAATCTCACTTTGGCACTTTTCCCATAGCTCCTGGTAC